AATTTAAAGTGTAGAAAAAGTGAGTGCAGACAAACCTAGTGTAAGCCATGAAGTTTCAAATACTGAAAAGATATATCTCTCTAGTCTTTCACCACAAGAAGATATATTAATTTTAGAATTTCCATAACTGGTTAAACATAACCTCGAATATTCTGATTATTGTTTTATAGCTTACTCTTCAATCAGATATGTGCATCTACTTAAGAGGACGCCATACTGCAGAAGAAAAAAAGTTTCCTCGCAAAGTCTCTTTCTCCTTCATTACTAAATTAAAATTTAAAGTGTAGAAAAAGTGAGTGCAGACAAACCTAGTGTAAGCCATGAAGTTTCAAATACTGAAAAGATATATCTCTCTAGTCTTTCACCACAAGAAGATATATTAATTTTAGAATTTCCATAACTGGTTAAACATAACCTCGAATATTCTGATTATTGTTTTATAGCTTACTCTTCAATCAGATATGTGCATCTACTTAAGAGGACGCCATACTGCAGAAGAAAAATTGTTTCCTCGCAAAGTCTCTTTCTCCTTCATTACTAAATTAAAATTTAAAGTGTAGAAAAAGTGAGTGCAGACAAACCTAGTGTAAGCCATGAAGTTTCAAATACTGAAAAGATATATCTCTCTAGTCTTTCACCACAAGAAGATATATTAATTTTAGAATTTCCATAACTGGTTAAACATAACCTCGAATATTCTGATTATTGTTTTATAGCTTACTCTTCAATCAGATATGTGCATCTACTTAAGAGGACGCCATACTGCAGAAGAAAAATTGTTTCCTCGCAAAGTCTCTTTCTCCTTCATTACTAAATTAAAATTTAAAGTGTAGAAAAAGTGAGTGCAGACAAACCTAGTGTAAGCCATGAAGTTTCAAATACTGAAAAGATATATCTCTCTAGTCTTTCACCACAAGAAGATATATTAATTTTAGAATTTCCATAACTGGTTAAACATAACCTCGAATATTCTGATTATTGTTTTATAGCTTACTCTTCAATCAGATATGTGCATCTACTTAAGAGGACGCCATACTGCAGAAGAAAAAAAGTTTCCTCGCAAATTCTCTTTCTTCCTTCATTGCTAATTTAAAATTTAAAGTGTAGAAAAAGTGAGTGCAGATAAACCTAGTGTAAGCCATGAAGTTTCAAATACTGAGAAGAAAAAATTTACAATATGCAAATGAAAATAAATTGTGGGATGATAACCTAAGATTACGCAACGGAGAAGTTCTCTGCTAATAATTTGTTTGCATTTTAAAATTTTGAGGTATTTTTTTCAGCAATTGAAACTTTATGACTTAATCTAAGTTTGCCTGAACTTTCTTTTTCTTTCTTTTAAATGTTAAATTAATAATGAAGGAAAAAGAGAATTTGCGACGAAAATTTCTTTCCGTGGCATGGCGTCCTCTTAAGGTGCGTCACATCAATCTCTTATCTGAAGCATACAATCAGTCAGTTTAATTAATTTTTCTAATTTTATTTACTTTGTTGCAAATTAAATATTTTTGTATCATTTGTTATTAAATTCAAGAGTTTCTGAAGGAGTTGCAATTTCAATTTATTTCTGTCATTTACATGATTATAGATTTAGAAAATAATGATAATAATCGAAACAAATTTCTTGTTTTTATATTGTACGATTTTATTTTGAAATCTATAATTTATTTTTAATTTTAAAAAGGAAAAATTTATTTTGTTGTTACTAATTTTAACTTTTTGTAGGTTTTTTGGAGGGCTTCGGCGGGGCTTTTGTGAAGGAATGGCCGTGATATTAAACGGAAGGAAAAGATGCTCGTGAAAGAGTATCGAATTCCACTGCCCCTGACGGTTGAGGAGTATAAGATTGCCCAGCTCTATATGATAGCTGTAAGTATTAATTCAATAAAAAATATTAAACTAATTTTATGTACATAAAAAATATTTAAAAAAGACGAATCATATGTCTAAAAACTACATTTTATTTATGATTTTATTTCTTATTTTTAGAAAGAGAAAAGCAAGTTATTAATAACTAGGAAGCTCCAACCCCCTAAGAGGCTAATATTAATATATACTTATGATCAAATTTATATTGCGCTTATCCTGATACGTTTGCTAACTGTACTTAATATTGCGCACAACATTTTTCATTTCGTTATAATATTTATGTCAAGATTATTTTTATGTAATAATTTAACCCTTTATTTACCAAATTATTAAAAATTTATGAAAACTCTTTTGTGTCCTATTAGATAATGTCTATTTTACACTTTAACAAATATTTTTTTAACTCTCAATAATATTTTCAAACTTTTCATAAAATATTTATTTTGAGACTTACTCCACATTATAAGATTTTAATTTAAGTTAAACGTTTAACACTTAGTTTTTTAACTAGCTGAAAATGTAAATAAATCGAAAAATAAATATGAAGGACTTACTTGAAAAATTAATCGCGATAGAAATCTAAGAATTAAGAATCATGAACGCCTTGGAACGAAATGTCAACAACTAAATAGTTCCATAAGTGAGGTTTAACTTTGAATAATCATGTGTTGTCAACTAGTAATGATAAACAGAAAGTCATAATTCAGGGACAGACATTTTATTCCATATACTTTTATATAAATTTTAATTTCACATAAATTGCTTTGAATCACTAATTCTACAATTTTTATTCAGTAGATCATCATTCACTAATTATTTAACAGTGAAAGAAGTTACTATAAAACATTTTCTTCATGTATTTAAAACCATTTTATCTAATTTTTACAATGTGTATGTTGTGCAGTGTAAATTTTATTAAGATAATTATGATTATCTTCTAAAGATTCTTCTTTCTGTTTGAAATTGTTGATTCTCTATTCTATGTATGAGAGTTGAATTTATTTTATTATCACTTAAATGTATTGAACATCGTTCAGAAGATAAAAGACATAATTATTTACATATTAANTTCTTCGTTACTAATTTAAAATTTAAAGTGTAGAAAAAGTGAGTGCAAACAAACCTAGTGTAAGCCATGAAGTACTGAAAAGAAAAAAATTTACAATATGCAAATGAAAATAAATTATGGGAGAATAACTTAAGATTATGCAACGGAGAAGTTCTCTTCTAATAATGTTTGCATTTTAAAATTTTGAGGTATTTTTTTCAGCAATTGAAACTTTATAACTTAATCTAAGTTTGCCTGAACTTACTTTTTCTTTCTTTTAAATGTTAAATTAATAATGAAGGAGAAAGAGAATTTGCGACGAAAATTTCTTTCCGCGGCATGGCGTCCTCTTAAGGTGCGTCACCTCAATCTCTTATCTGAAGCATACAATCATTCAGCTTTATTTATTTTTCTAATTTTATTTACTTTGTTGTAAATTAAATATTTTTAACTCATTTGTTATTAAATTCAAGAGTTTTTGACGGAGTTACAAATTTGATTTATTTCTGTCATTTACATGATTAAAGATTTAGAAAATAATAATAATCGGAGCAAATTTCTTGTTTTTTTAGTGTATGATTTTGTTTTTAAATCTATAATTTATTTATAATTTTAAAAAGGAAAAATTTATTTGGTTGTTACTAATTTTTAACTTTTTTGTAGGTTTTTTGGAGGGCTTCGGTGGGGCTTTTGTGAAGGAATGGCCGTGATATTAAACAGACGGAAAAGATGCTCGTGAAAGAGTATCGAATTCCACTGCCCCTGACGGTTGAGGAGTATAAGATTGCCCAGCTCTATATGATAGCTGTAAGTATTAATTCAATAAAAAATATTTAAAAAAGACGAATCATATGTCTAAAAACTACATATTATTTATGATTTTATTTCTTATTTTTAGATAGAGAAAGGAAATTTATTAATAACTAGGAAGCTCCAACCCCTAGATGGCTAATACTGATATATACTTATTATCAAATTTATCATAAAATCCTGATACGTTTGCTAACTGTACTTAATATTACGCACTATATTTTTCATTTCGTTATAATATTTATGTAAGAATTACTTTTATGTAATAATTTAACCCTTTATTTACCAAATTATTAAAAATTTATCAAACTCTGTGAAACTTTTGTGTCCTATTAGATAATGTCTATTTTACACTTTGACAAATATTTTTAAACACTCAATAATATTTTCAAACTTTTTATAAAATATTTATTTTGAGACTTACACCACATTATAAAATTTTAATTTAAGTTAAACGTTCCGCACTTTGTTTTTTAACTAGTTGAAAATGTAAATTAATCAAAAAGTAAATATGTAGGAAAATTGATCGAGATAGAAATCTGAGAATTGAAGAATCATGAGTGCCTTGGGACGAAATATCAACAACTAAATAGTTCCATAAGTGAGGGACAACTTCAAATAATCATGTGTTGTCAACTAGTAATGATAAACAGAAAGTCATAATTCAGGAACAGACATTTTATTCCATTCCAATGCTTTATGAAAATAATGTACTTTTATATACATTTTAATTTCACATAAATTACTTTGAATCACTAATGCTACAATTTTTATTCAGTAGATCATCATTCACTAATTATTTAACAGTGAAAGAAGTTACTATAAAACATTTTCTTCATGTATTTAAAACCATTTTATCTAATTTTTACAATGTGTATGTTGTGCAGTGTAAATTTTATTAAGATAATTATGATTATCTTCTAAAGATTCTTCTTTCTGTTTGAAATTGTTGATTCTCTATTCTATGTATGAGAGTTGAATTTATTTTATTATCACTTAAATGTATTGAACATCGTTCAGAAGATAAAAGACATAATTATTTACATATTAAAGACATAATTATTTTGCATTAAATTTTACCATAAAAAAGTCGTTAGTGATATGCTGTCAAATTGATGGCAACTACTATGTTGTTAAACAATTAGAAACATTTTCCTTCATATATTCTCTGACAATGGAAAGGCATAGGTATACCAATTGTTCTTATAGTATAATAGTTTTGAGTTACTGAAGAGTAATGACGCGTACAAATGATTCTGATTTTCAAATTTTACCTCATTTTTCTTTGAAAAGAACCCCCATTGATGAGGTGTTAGGCTCTCTCAACAATGTATTATATTTATAGATTTTACAATAAAAATTGATTTATAGTTGCCAGTTTAGTAAAATTGTGCCTAAATGTCTCGTAGTCTTCCGACATAAGTCTCTAAAACTTCTGAGAAAATAATAATAAAAATTTAAACCTCACTCAATTATTTGTTTGCACGAAAAGCGAAAAGATTAGGTATGTGAAAGATAAAGATGAAGACGTAGTATAATCAAAAAGTAATCATTCAGCGATTTTATTTAAAATCTAGACATTTTGAGATACTGCATTTTACAAACAGTTTTCATTTAATTTTTATAGTTTTTATTTAATTTCATTTTTATGTTATTTAATTTTACCATAGTTGTAAACATAAATGTTTTATTTTTAGAAAAAAAGCCGTCAAGAGAGCAAAGGAGCTGGTAGTGGTGTCGAAATACTTATTAATGAACCTTACTCTGATGGACCTGGTGGCAGTGGACAATATACTCGTAAAATTTATCATGTTGGAAGTCATCTTCCAGGTACTATTTGATTAATTTGTAATCAAAAATTTAAATCTTTAAAATATAATTGATATTGCTTACTTTAAAAAAGTAATTACATATACATANATATATATATATATATCAGTTCATTTAATAAAATAGTTTTTTGTGCGTTTTAAAGTTTTAAAATTAATTTATAAATTTCGTATTTTGTTATTTCTTAAGCAACTGAAAGAAATATTTTATGAATGTGCATTGAAAAGAATAATAAAAAAATTAGATTTGATTGATGCGAAGAAATTATTTGCTTTCTGAAGATTCTGTAGTGTTAGTTAATGTGAAAGGATGATATGTAAGCTAGATTCTCAGGTGAATGTCAGCATCCAAGTAATAGTTCGTTGTTATATTCGAGATATTTTCCTTACTATCCTTTTTTCTCACTTTCATCAATGAATGTGAACATTTAGCGTGTTGGTTATTTAAGATATTTTTGTTATGTTAATACAAGAATGCATCTTCAAATTTAAAGTAAGAAATAAGTATTCTTTAAAATGTATTATAACGTATGCCAAAATAGGAAAATGCTTAAGGTATAGCACATGATATCAATAAGTTGTTATACCTAAAATGAACAGTTTTCGACCTCAACATACACCAGCAATACATGAAAGTAGTTATGTAACTAATTATTCGGGCTTTCATTTACGTATAATTGGTGTGTTCTGATAATGTTAACATTCTCTTACTCCAATGATTTACAGTTCGCAAAGTATGCGTTTTTTTTTAAAAAAAGCTTAGCTCTTTAAGAACATTGTCAAACTAATAAAACACTTTCCAGATCATAGGACAATCTTTGACATTTCACTAAATACGCATAAATAAGAGTAAATGTAGAGCATTAATATTATGACAGTTTATAATAGTTTGTTAAGTTTATTTTTAGGCATAAAAATGAAGCATAAGATGTGACTTATTTTGATTTCGAAGTTCACTAAAAAGAATAACAATGATAAAAGTCAAAAATTAATAATATTTTAATTTGAATACAGCCTTACGCAAATCTAAAGCACTCACAAACAAGATAATATTTTCTTAAATTTAATTATCCAGAATTATGGAATATGATCGAAAAAAGAAAGAAAATATTAATCACTTTATAAATATTTACGAATGATATGATTTAAAAATTTATTGATGCAAACATAATCCGTACCATTGCAAGTTGTTTTCAGTTTTTTTTGTCTTTTGCTACCATTCGAGAGAATTAATAAAAAGAACTATAGAGTTAATAAAATGATCTATAGACTTAATAATGTAGCTATTTTTACATATCTAGACTGGTTTAATTTTTAAAATTTTTTTGTCTAAATGAAAATATTGTAAATTTTAACTTTCATTCATGTTCAGCAATTAAATTATTTAAAAAATTTATGCATGATCTTGAGACCCGTAGAATTCGAAGACACGCTCTTGATTTAAAATTTTATGACGGAATGTAAATTTCATTTATTAACGTGAATCTTTTTAGCTCCCCTTAATGAAGGCGTTTCATTTTCTTCAACTTAAATTACTCAATCTTTTTATTTAATTATAAATGATATTTTGGGTTATATGAGCAAAGAAAACTGATATTGGTTTGAGAGCAGTATATTTTTTAAAGTTCCTAATATGATATATTTATTTACTTAACTTTGAGGCCTTGTTTTTTGTTTCTTGTCTCAATAAATGAAATATTGTAACAAATATGAAATGAAAAAAAGAAGTATTTTTAGAAACTTACTGTATTTCTTTAGCTGATTTTTGTATGTTTTGCAGTTCTATTAATAATAGGTATGTACTTGTAGACTTCTTGACATCTTACTTATCAATTATTGCTAAAATTGCTCATTAAAACTTCTTTTATAAGAAAAAATAAAAACTAGTAAAAGGTGTGATAGATTTGATGTAAAAGATTAAATAAAATTTTCTAAAAAATATCAAGTTTTTAATAAATAGAAAAGTAAACATTTTGTTTATTTTTTGATCGAATCTTTGAAATTACACCTTAAGCAAATTTACAGTCATAAACACTATGAGTATTTAACCCCTCAGAAAGTTTCTGGACGTTCAAATATTACAAAAGCATATTTTTGGCTCTTTTAGACGCAATTTCTGCCTTTGTCTGCAAAAATAAGCAAACCTTATGTTGAAATAATAAAAACTGCAATACGCCTCTTGTTTTATTGCTTTAGTTTTGACTTTTGCAATATAATATTAAGACTTTTAGGATTAAGTTCAAATAAAAGGGTGTAACTTTGCGTTTTAATTTATTTTACAAAATTGTGAAACTTTTTAACGAAATATTTTTTTAAAACTTTTTCTTTCCTTAAATTTAACTTATATTAAAAATTTAAATTTTTTGATGATAGTAATATTTTTGTTTTTGTTTAATGTTTTTGCATTTTAAAAAATTGCATCAAAGCTTCACTTTTTAGGTAAACACAGGTTCGATGATCCTAATGATATTTTCTCCTTTGCATTTACGTCAAATTTACTGAAAAACATGTTTGATATTCTTGTTTTGATGTAATTCAAAGTAGTTTAAATTTGGCTTAGTAAATTCGATTTCAGCTTTTGTAACTATATTCTTGATTCAATCCATAATTTCACTCCATTAATTTGTTTTATTGTTTTACTGCATTACAATAGACATGTTTCATTTTATGTTATTCAATTGGAAAAAAAGCGCAGATAAAAAATCGAATACGAACTTTCTCAAACTTATATTGTTAAGAGGGTTAAGGGTGCGAAGAGGCCCCTAAAGTTTACTAATTAATTATTACTAATTATTAATTAGTTTATGAAATTAATCTGAAAAAAATTCAAACTAGATTTTTGGACAATCAGTTTGGATGCAAGATACAATAGGCCCGAAAATTTTTTTGGGTGATATGAGCAACAATTTGGAAACGATACTAATAGTCTTAGAAGCAAAAGAGAGTGTAAAAGTTTGGTTCTTGTTTTTATATATATATATATATATTATNCTATACTAAAACTCGTTACACCTCACCGTTTGTCGAAAAATTCCTTCTAGAAATTGAAACTAAATATTTTAATGATGGTGGACAGCAAGAAAACGTGTTTAATCTTTCTGGTAGTGATTTGAGAAATCGAGTTGTTGGTAAGCATTCTATATATTTATTTTTTCAAATTATCGAATTTAATTCTGAGATTCTTAAGCATGTTAAATTAATTTCTATTTTTTTTACGCATATATGAATTTATGATGCATAGAACAATACTTTTAAGATATTTTTTTTCCAATCTACTTTCGTTGGCAAATTTCATGTCTTGTCAAAATCTCCCCCCTCCTGCTTCACGCTTTGGCCAATAGCCCATTTGGAAGTCTAGTTTGACGTTAAGAATCAAGTAAAATAAAATCCTGCGTGTCTTAATATGTTTGCCAACTTTCCTTTCATTGCAAACTGCATTTTTCGTTTGATTATATTATTTTTATTTCAAACCTTAAGGGGATTATAAACATACTGGCCAAATGACTTGCCAGTTAATATTTGAGGCTTCGTCCTCTTCCCCCCCTCTTCCCTCGATAAACCGTAGAATTTACTTAAAAAGCTTGTTATAAATCTGACACCCAGATGAACCGTTAGAGTTAAGTGGTAGGCAGCAACAAATTGCTAATCCCGAGGGTCTGGGTTTCGAACACCGGACGTTATCAATTTTAAAAATTATATTTAAGAAAAATAAATTCAGCAAAAAGGACATTGTTTTTACGTGGTTCACTGGGCATTATGGAATCCATTGCTCGGAGATTGCCAATTCAATGGAAAAAATAGTGCGTTGACTTTACAAAATCTCGTTCAAGTGCACATTCTGGGACAATAAAACGATTAATAAAAAATATTATGTCTGAGGAGTTCAATAAGCACCTCGCTGTTAGGACGATTCAAAAGTCTTGGAAAGATATTATCTGTAGTTTCAAAATGTCTCAGGTATAAAATAGTGGCTGATTTTAACCTCGCTACTGGTGCAAAACACGTTCCCCGTCTCCGCATAGTTTCAAGTCGTATCTGCATTTTCTTTAATCTGAAATGGGTCATATCGAGCTTTGATGGAGTTTTCTAATCTAGAAATTAAAAAGAAAAATCTAAATATCGTTTTTTTATTGCATATTTTGAAGTCTTATACTATGGGGTAAATATGAGCGAAACCATTTTTCCTGGAAACTATTTGATTAGTTACAAAACGCAATAATCGGAACAGCAGTCCCGCATAGGTAATGGCTCACGGATGGTGCAGGAGACAATCAGGCCTATAAACGAAGACTTGTCAAATAGCAATTTACTGGAAAGTCAAAACAATAATGAATCTCTAAATTTGCTTCTTTGGACGTTTTCTCCAAAAAGATGTGTCGTTGAATGATTTCAGTAAAGATGTGGTTGAAATTGCCAATTATTTGGCTACGATGATCTTCAACGACAGTTTCATGGGGATTACCAGCATCATGGCAAATCGACGAATTAGCAACGTTGGTAGTACGATATTATTTCTAGCGTGTATTTCAAGATACTATTTTCAGAACATTGAAAAAAGTTTGAATAATTTAAAAACATTAGTTACTTTTATTTATTTATTTTAGTAATAAAGGAAATTTTAATTCCTTTTAACCCTTGTTTTATGCACATTTTTGCTTCTTTCAAAATCAACATTTTGTAGGTTTTTTGAAAGCTTTATTGTCTGTTCTTTAATTTCCATTACAAACTATTTTGATGTTTAAAAATTTCTTTCTCGTATTTTTAAAAACATTATTTTTCTATGCGTAATTTTAAATATTAATGCATATATATCACAATACTTAATAAAAAGAAATGAAATCTCGAATGTTCTTTTACGATTAAAATTTTTTCAACAACATGTATCGATTTTTTCCAAAATCATTTATGTAAATTAAATTTACTAATGATATTTTATTTTGATCTCTTCTGTAACATTTATGGAAATGGAGCAAAAGCTCAGCATATAAGACAACGGTGATCGATATAATGCAACTTTCTATCTTGCTTTGAGGGTAAATAAAGTAATTGCGATTGATTTCGGCTTTTTTTTTTTATGCAACGTTTTATTTTGAAGTAAACGATCAAATTGGTATAAAAATTTATCAATTTAAAATTTTTAAACGATTCTTAAAAGTTATTGTCATTTGCCCTTGACATCCTATCACTGAAAACTTAAAATGATCTAGGGTCAGACTGACCTTTGAAAGGCTGCCAAATACTGCGAATGGTATGTAACCATTTCGAGGCATCATTAGAATTTTTACGATTACAGTGGCATAAAATAAATATTGAATATAAGTTGTCTTTTTGCCAAATATTTGATTAAGAAAATTAATAGTATGTGTATCAATTCATTTGTATTAGTAAAGGAAAATGCTATTTATCCCCTAAAACACAGTAAAAAGTAAATTTTTATAGTAATATTTTATTGTAAAAAGCTATTTTAAAATTACTGCACTAATTTTACTTTTTGGCTTTTGCAATCCAATGAGATTTTTATTTTCTGATTGTTATTTATGAATGAATATGAATTTCATATCTAAAATAATTCGTACCAATCTGTATTTTTTTCCTACGTATTGAATAGCTAGGGAGAGCGGGGCTAGTTTTGGTTTATTACTATTTTACTTGTTTTTCTGTAAAACTTACGACAATATCGTTTTTGAAGATAGTCAATTAATAAGAAATGTTTAAAAAAATTGGTTTTGAAACAGACCATTTTACAACAGAGGAGGATACCTCAATTTTATCGGTTTTGTACACGCAAAATGTATGGAGATAAGGATAAGTAGTATTACATTCCACTACTAAGAATTATTAATTTTCTAATAAATTATTAAAATATTCATAAATTTTTAGTTGCAATAAATTTTGTTTGATATGGTAAATTAATTTTAAGCCGCGAATGCAAAATAATGCAAAATAATGCAAAATATGCAATGCAAAAAATATGCAATCAAAATAATGCAAAATATGCATTTTGTACCGTCTAAAAGATTTTTCGTCTCAGTTGGCTCAAGTCACTCAACTTGAGATAGGAAACAAGCGTTAATAAAATAAACAAATAAATAAATAAATGAAAATTAAAAAAAATAGCAAGTCAATATTATTCACAACTACGAGTTGAAAAAATCATTTGTTCAAATCATTTGTTTGAATTGGTGATTTTAATTTTTACACAATATCGTTGAGGTGAAACCAAATCGTCTCTGAGCATATACTACAGACTTAATGTCCAACATGCGATTCAGCTGTACTTCCTGCTTGCTTTAACTAATGTACTAATTGGGCTTTTCTAAAACGTAATTGCCTTATTCTTTCTTAAAATCGATTTAAACATTTTCAGCCCATGAATACAATCCTAATTTTTTACTTTTTGAATTGCAAATGTCTCATCCATATCCTTGGATTTCTCAGAATAGCAAAATCTCCAGGGGGATTAAAGAAAAAAATTTATATAATAGGAAATCAGAAAATTTTCTATCCTTCTCAAGGAGGCTCCGTCCGCACTGAAACTTTGATGACACCCTCTAGTCATGTGACTATGGTGTTTCTATTTAACAAGACTTATTATTGTTGGAAAAAAAAGTTGAATGTTAATTTACTTCTATACAAATTCGCTCGGTTTTTCTCCCCAAATTCTAATTATCCTTATTCGGATCTATATCACAATCATTTGACTTAAATTATAACAATTTTGACTAATGTTGCCAAATATATATAATATAAAATCAAACATATTATGTAGTCAAATGCAGTTAACAGTTAAAATATATTTTGATTACCACGCTTATATTCTATATTTTATGAAATTTATTTCATCCGGATTAAATAAATATTCCGGATTAAATAAAAATTTATAAATTGAGAATTTATTTTATTGTAGATTTAATTGACGTTGTGAAAGACACGTCTTATTCATCAGAATATATTCAAGATGAAGATCCCAAACTTTACGTGTCCTCAAAAACTAACAGAGGCCCTCTCTCTGATGAGTGGCTTGATGAATATTCGACTTCACAAACAATTCAAGACAGCCCAATTATGTGTGCATACAAGCTTTGCCGTGTGGAATTCCGCTACTGGGGCATGCAAACTAAAATTGAAAAATTTATCCATGATTTTGGTAATTATTATTTTAATTGAAATTTTTTCCTTTTCCTTAATTTTAATTGAAATTTACTTGTATATGTTTTTAATATATGAAATTTATAGTTTGGGAAATGGCCACGCCTTTCGCGTTTAATAGTTTAAACATTTCTTTTCTAGCTCTTCCAAGTTAATCCCTTTTTAAATTTTACTGTCGTTGCCAATGAGAATCTTTTTGTCGATTAATGAAAAGCGTGATTATAATTTTATTAATTTTCCAATAAGGTCATAGAATCTGGTCTTGATCTAAATGTTACCGTAAATTAAATCATTTTTCTGTTCTATTGCGCACTTTAGACGGCTCATAGAATAGAAAAAAATAAAATAAAATAAAATTCAATACTTAGATTTAGATAAGATTTTATGAACTTATTGTGGACATTGGTAGGGGTTCATTAGGAATTAATTGCTTTGAACTCTGGCATACGTGATGTGTGGATATTGACTGATAGCTAAAATTCAATACTTGAAGGATTGACCACGTATCCTGTTTAAATATGGACAGGATATCATTTTAAGATCGGCCCTGTGTACTTTCAGTGGATTCCATCCCACGTGGCAGTTTTTGGAAAATAATTGCTGATCTGCTTGCTAGGTAGAACAGTGACCTTCTCACAGTCCCTTACTCCATACTACAAGCTTCTGAGGTTCACTCTCGAATTTTGGCGAAAATAAATGCCGCTTGGAAAATTTCTCCAGTTCATGGTACGCCGCTTAATGTCCTGAATTATCTCTGCAGTGCTGTCCTTCATTTGCTCAAACGTTTTATCTAAACTTAGGACTGATCACATAAAAAGTTCCATCCTTCAGGGAATCGAGAAGACATCTGCCGATTGTCACAACTCAGTCCTCTCATATTATTGATTGCATTGGAACCTCAGTGATAGCTACTGTTGAATGGAGAGACTGTTTGCGATTTGTTGATACGACATGACTTTTTGGACTTTTGGTTTTGGGATCTAAATCAAGGAGATAAGTAACAACATTAATGGATGGTTCATAATATTGTGACTTTAACAATTTCATTATCATTTGCGAATTGTAATCCATTTAACACTGATTGCTCGATAATTAACTCACTTATTATATTTATTAAGTTATAAAAACGAAATATTTCATTTTATTTTTGTTTGATGAAATCTAAACTTCTACTTATGTATTACGTTATCGACTCATGTCCTCAGCTTTCAATTCAACCAAGCTCTCAATTAAAATTGTACATTTAATTAAGTGCTAAAAATTGTGTTTTAAATTACGATGGTGGATTGGAATATGTTTCAAAATTAGTTGCTTCCGACTTATATATTTTTAGTTCATCTTTTTGTAATGGGAAAAAAACTGCATTTCTAATATTTTATATACTTAGTTTGGTATTTTGCTTTTATTTATTGTAACAGCTCTTAGAAAAACAATGTTCCGCGCCCACAGACAAGCTTGGGCTTGGCAAGATGAATGGTATGGCCTTACAATGGATGATATTCGTCGGCTGGAACGAGAAACGCAAGAAGCGCTTGCGAAAAAAATGAATACCGACGAAGATTCTCAACCATCAGTTCATCCTAGTCCATCTGCTTGCTCTGGACAAGAAATTGATCTTAATGCAATTGATAAAGACAAAGACAATGATTCTTGTGTGCATTTGGAAGGAAGTCCATCTCCAAATAGACCTCGTAAACCTAGAAACCTGTCAGTTGCCAATATCGGGAATGATAACGCCCCAGCAGAAGATGGTAGGCAAAAATTGTGGTCAAGAAGTGGATCTAGAACAGCCCTTTGTTCTCCTAGTAAGTTAAATGATTATTAATTGCTTTGTTACTTTTAACTATAGTCTAATTCAATACGCATATATGGAGAGAGCTTTAGATTTTAGGGTTAGGTTAAATTTAATAATTTTTTAACTTAAATTATTAAGCGATTCTTACTCTAACATAAGGAAACGCGACTGGTTCGACGGGATTATTTTTTAAATTTACTTAAAAAATTTCTGAATAAAAAAAGGTATCTTAAATCAGATAAAAATTTTTTTTTGGGTGTAATGAAAGCAGGAATAAAATGTTTACTGTCTGTATGGAACAGTCTAAAAATCTTTAACAATCATAATTTTTTGGTTGCAAAATATAATTTTTTAAACCGTTAGTAATACCCTTCAAACAATTTTTAATTGGACAAACAAAGAATTTTTTTTATAGTTTTAAATACAGCTGTTCCTTTGTTTAATTCAACCGTAATGTTTGGTAATAAATTATGGAAATCAATGTTTAGCTTTAATATTGTTTTCCATTGCATTTGAATCAATTTCAGGTGGAAGTTCAAATGCAAGTTTCGATCTTCAAGTAGCAGCCAACTGGCGAATGGAAAGCATCGTGAGAGATTCAGAAAGTAGTTCGGACGAGGAATTTTTCGATGCCGAAGGTATGCATAACAGTTTTTTTTGTTTTGTTTGTTTACTTCGAAAATACTGATGTATTATAAAATCTAATAAAATTATAAAAATATCCTTTTTTTTCTCTAGAAAATATAATGATGGAAGCGTTTACCTTAGCTCGATGGAACTCAATGGACATGATACCTGACGATGACGAAAAAGATCAAAATGCACCTGACATGCCTGATTTTCGAGATGGTAAGTAATGTTTCATATTAATCATAATGATGATATTTTGAAATAGGTTTTGGACAGCATTGTCAAAATAATAGTTTTATTTTAATCTTAATTTTTACGTTGTGAATAAACATTTATCCAATAATTTTATTTATGGAATCCGTTCTAATTTATAAGCGCTTTTTTATTTTTCACCTATTTTCATTGATAAGCAAATAACGCTTCCTTTCTCTATGATTATGTGAGTTTCATTTTCCAAAATTAATTACTTTTTCATTTTACGCGGGATTTTTCTGGGTATTTAGTTTATAGAGATACAGTGTCTTAACTATTACCTCTACACCATTGGTTGCAAAAATAAGCAAATTGTAAACGCTTACCTCTTTCTGACACAAAACAAAACTTTTAGAAGCATGCGGCTTACTTAATATATATTTGAACCCGATAATGGTGCACATAAACAGTTCCAATTAAGTTTCCAAATCCAAAAATCATTTTAACTGGTGAAATATTTTATATATGTCTTTAAAAAAATAAGTTATAACTTTTAATTTCTTTTATGAGTCTTCTTGACCTTTCAACAACTTGTTTTATTATTATTTAAATTCAACATAAATTTTTTAATATCTATTTCTTAGAAAAAAAAATTACAGATTTACAAACTCTGCCAGATGTATGCACCTCCTCTGAATAAAATTTAAATAAAAGAAATAGAGTTTTAGTATTACTGTTCCTAAAAAGGGAAATTTACCATTTATAGATTTGAATGAAAGTAGAAATATTACTGTATCCCACTTAATGTAAATTGTAAACGCCTTTATGTCGTCGGTTGAAATGTATGATTATTGCAACGCAAGTATTCTTTGGCTTGTAAATATTATAATATACAAAGAATTTTGTAAAGCTCGATAATTATTTTTGAGTATCACCTGCTGATATTTGTAACTTTAAATAATTCAGCGTAATAAATAAGTAGTTAAAAAAACTAATAAAATACGTTAAGGGTATAGTCATTAGACAGAAAAAGATTGCCACTTCCACCATAGAAAGTTAAATGAGCGCAGTTATAAAGTAAATGAGTTCTTAGGAAAATTTTTCGTTTCCTTTTATTCGCTGAAAAGTGTTCTATTAAACCTACTTACAGCTGTAACTATTTTATGTTTTACTACTTTAAAATTTTTTTTAAACCTATTATAATGGCCTATTATATTTTACCTATTATAACTTTTTGAAACCTATTATAATATGTCCATTTTTGTACCTTTATTTGTGCTTTATTCACGTCACTTTTCTTTGTTCATATGTAGCGCAAAGTTTACCCTTACGGCTATTAAAGTAGCTTTTACAGTAACTTAGTAAACTAAATATTTAATTTCTATTTTACGTAGCTGTCATGGAGCAATTAAATGTGACGTTGTTTTTATAGACTAGATCTGTGCTTTGTTGCTGTTTTTTCATTTATGCTATTACTATACTTGATTATGTTTCTCTTTGAACTCAATTAACATACTAGCATTTAATATTTTTTCTTCGAATTCAACGTTCTTTGGTTTCCATTTCAATTTCAGATAGCATATTTTCCAACACTTTCATTAAGAAGGTTCAGTCTGAACATGCCAATGTCAGAAATCCTAGTGTTGGATCCGCTTCTGCTGCAACTCGTACTAGCTTGGATACCTCATTGCCCTCCACGCCCACTGCTTCACCTGCCCATCAGTCTTCATGTACAACCACCATTTTAGTCATGGTTATGCATGCTGGTAGCGTGCTAGATTCTGGTATCGAACCTACGGCTAACAAGAAGACTGATGTAAATACTTTTGCTAGTTCTTTTGAGGCTGTAATGCGACAACATTATCCTACATTATTAGGGCATTTGAGTGTGCGTCTTGTATCATGTGCTGCTGTGTGCTCAGAAGCTCTTGCAGTCTTATCAAAGTAATTTTCATTTCTAACAGTCTTAATCTTTAACAACTATTGACTATCTTATTTCATATAATAACAATCTAAAAACAGTATTTATTCTGGAAATATATATGCCTTAAATTCATTATTTTCTAACTTTTTTCGGAGATTAGCGAACTCACGTTTGTAAATGTACAATGCGAAAAAAACAAACAAACTAACAATCAAGTTGAATTATTTTTGATCTGATTATCGGGTTTTTACGTATTTCGTTCGAGGTCCTAATCTTAAACATGCTTATTGGTACAAACAATAATTTGAGTAATGAAATCAGACACAAAAGAAAAAAAAAACGTTCTTTCTCTGAATAAAGTTTAGACAGAAGAGCAGTCGAAAGTTGGGACACCTTAAAGTTAATTTCACTTTTTGTGTATTTTTGCTGTATCTCAAAAATTTTCCAATGAATTGAAACATTTTTGCATACAATTATAGAATTCGTTTATCGAAAGATAATTCCACTTAAATAATTTTTAATAATTATTTTTTATTGAACTTGTTAACAAGCTGAATGCCACGCTAATTTTACATGACTTGCCCGTCTGGCCAATAGCTGCGAACTAAATTGGCAAATATTAGACAGATTTTGCTAGTTTTTAAAAGGTTTAGCATGACATATCTGAAAAAAGTGGTGAATTATATAAGCCTACGAATTGTTTAGAAATAGTGGTGAATAAAAATCTACTAAATTGAATTTATTAAACCAAGAATCACAATTAATGAACTACCACTTGAAAATATTTATTCGCTGTCCGGAGCAAGTTGGCATCTCTGTGTATATAAATAAAACTATTTTTGTGTGTCCTATTGCATTAATTTATTCAAACCATTTTAGTAACGATAATAAAAATTTACTCGAATTATGTGTTTCTAATAAACTTGGCTTCGCCGGTCACCGGTGACCCCCGTGGCACTACGAACAAACTCAGTGCCGGTCACCGGTGACTCTCATGGTATTCAACGTGTTAATAATAGTCTAAAAAAGTTTGAATCGCAAGACAGACAAATTTTTTGATCAATTTAAAGTATATAAATTTAATTGACAAAATGAGTGTAAATGACAATTACAAAATGAGTGTAAATGACAATTACAAAATGAGTGTAAATTTATGAGTTATCAAATTTTAGAAAAGTCATATATTTAAACATTTAATTTCTTGAGAACTATCCGACCAATTACATTATTTTGCATTTTGTCATTTAATTATACACTTTAAAATGATATAAAAATTTGTACGCCTTACAATTCCAAAATTTTCTGACTATTCTTAACAAACAATATAATAAAGTAATTATTAAAAATTATTTTTTTCACGGAGTTATTGTTGGATAAAAGAGTTTTATCATTGAATCAAAACAATTTTTGATTCGCTTAAAAAGTTTTTGAGGTGTAGCAAAATATGAAAGAAAGTGGAATAAACATTAAGGGCTTTAACTTTCGACTGCGTTTCTGACTTAACTATTGAGACCATATTTTCGGGATTGCGGCTACACCCTCTCCCTATAATTTGAAAATCAGAAATCCGAATTCGTTGAAAAAAGGGTATCTTTATTTCGAGAAAGTACGTTTTTGTGTCGGAATTCGTAATTAGACAAGTGCGGCATTGTCTCTAATGTACTTTTACACATTAAATCGAATGGGACAAAACCGTGGTCGGAAAGTTTATAAGTTACATAGGTACAATTAACAAAAACTACAATTTTTGACTTGTATCCAGTCATCTTGTAGTAAAAATAGTTTTATTTATCTTATTGTTAAACTCAAGGGAAAAAGCTATTTGGTAAACTCCTCTTGGTAAAGGTAAAAAGTAGCTTCACCTCGCACATCAGGTTTAAGCGGGTCTCGTTCAATTCATCTTAAAAAGTTCACAACGTTTTGCCACTTACATAGAAGAGGGTACTTGAGTTTACCAGTTTGAATTTTTTTTGTGGGGATATTTATATAAGACCCAATTTTTAATGTTCCACCTGAATCTAAACTGTGAATTAATTGCATTTCTGTTAATATTAAATTAGTTTTTGTTTTAAGAATTATTAATTAAATAAGATCTATTATAATGATACTTTACTTTTGCTGTAACTCCAGAAAGCACGGTCATGGTCATTTTCGTCCAAAAATTTTTTCTTCTTGTGGAATTTATAAACACGCAGAGATTTATCATTTAATTGTGCTGAAAAATATCAAACGCTATTTAATACTCCTATATTGTACGCGATGCTTGTCCACGCTTTTCTTTTTATTAAAACTAGCAAATTCCCTCTAGAATGAAATTTTCCCGATTCGTAGAGACGGATCTTCCTTTAAGAAATTGATGTAGTATTCCGAATTTCGTTTATATTTCTAGATTATAAATGCTGTTTTTTTCACTATACAGGGTGTTTATAAAGTCCCGAACCCATTTTGATATTTAAAAACTCATAAAATAATAAAGATATAGATTCAAATATTAACATAAATGGTTAGATAGACTTAAAAAGTTTCATGACCCTTGTCAATGAACTTGCACGTGTGCCCCCTTCGTCGCATGGAGAATATCATACGGGGTTTACGGAGATAGTCAATTTCACGCCAGATAGCGGTAAGTTCCAGGTATCCATAAAATCTGTGCTTTCTCTTGCGGTGTATGCATTCTCCTTAATATCCGCTCGAATAAAACATCGCATAGAAAAGTACTACATAGAACAAACACATCAAGAGTAAACATAACATTGCAATAGTTGCCAAAAACAAAAGAGAGAAAAATGCAATTAATAAGCAGACGATATTTAGACTGGAAAATGAAATTATCCGAAATTAACCACGCGCGCAGACGATATTTACAACAGTAAAGATATTCAAACCTGAAAAGGAAAATATATGAGTTATTCCATCAATAAATGCCATAAGTTTGTTTATATCTTCATTATTTTATGAGTTATTAAACATCAAAATGGGTCCGGGAATTTATAAACACCCTGTATATTAAAAAAGTAATTTCCAAATACCCTCTATTTAGAAGCTGTTAATAAATATTGAGTTAAATTATTATTTTAAATTGAAGTATAACATTGATTGATAATTATTTTTCATTTTTAAAATAAAACAAAAAAGAAACATTTGTTATCCTGAAATACACCTTCCCCTAAAACAATTATTGTTATTATTAACATTTTTGAAACCCTATTTACATACTTTCCTGCCCTTTTTAAATCCTATTTTTATATA